TGTATATATATATATATATATATATACAGCGGCGTTGTTTGTTAAGCCTACAACATAAAAACAATTTTTTTTGTTTTTGTTTGTTTGTTTAGCAGCATATAAATATATTACTTTTATTTTTCTTTGTTTGTTTTATTTATTTATTTAAATATATTTATATATCTTTTATTTATTTGTTTGGGTCCGGGGTACAGATAAATAATAATAATAATAAATAAATAAATAAATAAATAAATAAATAAATATAAATAAATAAATAAATAAATTTATAACAAACAAATAATAAATATTTATTTATTAAGACAACACAGCCATATCATACAACAAAACAAACAAAAGAAATATATGCTTCTCGAAGCCCTTCATTATGCATCACCAGCAGCAGCAGCAGCAGCAGCAGCAGCAGCAGCAGAATCACTGCTGCTGCTGCTGCTGATCTTAGAGCATTTGCTGCAGCCAGCATCTCTTAGTGCCTGAATAGTTTGCTGCTGCTGCGGGAGGGGTTTGAGCTTGATGGGTGTTTTGTGCTGCTGCTGTTTTTGCTGCTGCTGCTGTTTTTGCTGCTGCTGCTGCTGCTCATACTGAAGCAGCAGCTGCTGCTTAAGTTGCTGCAGCTGCTGCTGCTTTGCTGCTGTCCACCCTTCGCAAGGAGCAGCAACACCAACTAAGAAGCATCGCCAAAGACATCTGCCGCAGCGAGAATGAAACGCAAAATCTTTGCTGCAGTCTGCTGCTAGCTTCTTTAATAAACAGCTGTTACCCCCTGGATGTCTTCCTAATAAATTGTTTATCCGAAAGACTTCGCCGTTTGCATGCAGCAGCAAACAGCCGAGCAGCAGGTGCCTATACACCTGACAGGGCGTGAAAGAAGGCAGACACCTACCGCTGCTGCTGCTGCTGCTGCTGCTGTTGCTGCTGCTGTTGCAATTGCTGCTGCAACCGCTGCTGCTGCTGCTGAGAGGCAAAGGAAACTGACACGGGCTGCTGCTGCGCCGACGCTGCAACCAACGCATAAACAGCTCATATGCGTACCAGAGGCTGCTGCTGCTGCTGTTGCTGCTGCTGCTGCTGCTGCGCCATGCTTGCTGCTCTTCCTGCTGCAGCAGACTGCGCTTGAAGCAATCCGCGCTGCAGCCGTTGCGGCAGCAGTTGGGCCAGCCACGGGAGCAGCTCGTTCCCTGATGCTGCTGCTGCTGCTGCTGCTGCTGCTCGTGCTGCTGCTGCTGCTGACCTGCTCCTGGCAGCCAGCGCACGCTGTTAGTGTTTCCGCTGCCACTACTGCAGCAGCAGCTGCTGCTGGTGTTGCAGCTGACCCTGTAGGTGCTGCTGCAGCAGGTGCCGTTGCTGCCGTTGCTGCTGCTGGTGTAGCTGCTGCTGCAGCAGCAGCTGCTGCTGCTGCAGCTGCTGCTGCTGCTGCAGCTGCTGCTGGTGCCACCGGAGGTTAACTGAATGGAGCGGGTTTGCTGCTGCAGCATTTGCTGCTGCCTCTGCTGTCTGCGCTGCTGCCTTCTCTGCTGCAGAACCGAGGGCTGCTTCTGTTTCAGCTGCTGCTGCTTTTGTTGCTGCTGCTTCTGTTGCTGTTGCTTTTGCTGCTGTTGCTTTTGCTGTAGCTGCTGCAGCTGCTGCAGCTGCTGCAGCTGCTGCGTGAGGTCGTCTTGCATGCAACAAAGACCATCCTGGCCTGCAGCAGCAGCAGCAGCAGCCTTTGCTGCTGCTGCAACAGGGAAAGCAGCAACTGCTGCTGCTTCAGCTGACGGCGCAGCAGCAGCTGCTGCTGCGACAGCAGCAGCAACAACACAAACAGGAGCCTGCCGAGAAGCAGATTCTACTCGGATGCCTTCAGTTGAGGTGCCTGTACACCCCATTGGCTGCATGCGACAGCGTGCTGCAGTTGCTGTTGCTGCAGTTGCTGCTGCAGTTGCTGCTGCAGTTGCTGCTGCTGTTGCTGCCGCTGCTGCTGCATCCGCAGCATCGTCGCGTGCTGCAGCAGCAGCACTGAAATCCTGAGTAGACTCAGGAGGAAGCCCCGCCTCTGCTGCTGCAGCAGCAGCAGCTGCTGCTGCTGCTGGTGAGTTGCAATAGCAGCAGGGGCAGCAGCAGCAGCAGCAGGGGCCCCACATCCGTTCTCTCACTTGCTGCCGCACAGGTAGGCATCTGCTGCAAGAGCTGTTGCTGCAGAAGTCGGCGCAGTATTGACAAGCATCACATGCTGCTTCTGCTGCTGCTGCTGCTTCTGTTGCTGCTGCTGCTGCTGCTGTTTCTGATGAGTTGCTTGCTGCTGCTAAGGAAGCTGTTGTTGAGGTATCTCCTGCTGCTGCTGCTTCTGCTGCTGCCACCTCCATTGTTTCAGATACAGCCTCCGGTGGTGGAGCTGCTGCTGCTGCTGCTGCTGTTGTTGTTGTTGTTGTTGTTGTTGTTGTTGTTGTTGTTGTTGCTGCTGCATCAGCAGCAACAGCAACAGGGCAAGCAGCAGCTACCTCTGCATCTGGATCTGCTGCTGCTGCTTCTTTTGCAGCTGCCGTCGTTTTCGCTGCAGCTGCGTCTGCGGGGGCAGCATCTGCTGCAGCAGACGCTGCTGCAGCAGATGCTGCTGCTGCTGCAGGCTTCCTTGCTGCAGCAGCAGCAGCAGGGCGCTTGCTACTGTAAGCCGTTGCTGCTCCCCTGGAGGCTGCCGTCATGTTCACCTGTTCTGCTGCTGCTGCTGCTGCTGCTGCATAGAAAGGTGGCGCTGCGGTTAGTGATGCTACTAATGCTAATGCTGCTGCTGCTGCTGCTGCTGCTGATCGATGGGAGCAGCAGCAAGTGAAACCTTACTATTGCTACTAGCGCTGCTGCTGCTGCAGCTGCAGCTGCTGCTGCAGCAAGGCCCTTCTCTGCAGCTCCACGGTGGCTGCTTCATGGCCCGAGAAATATGTCCTTGCTGCTCATGCTGTTGCTGCTGTTTATGCTATTGCTGCTGCTGCTGCTGCTGCTGCTGCTGCTGCTGCTGCCTTCCAGTGGCTGGGCTTAAGCGCAGCGCCTATGGCAGTTTAAGCTGAAGTTGTTGTTGCTGCTGCTGATGTTTATGCTGCTTTTGCTGCTGCCTTCCTGCTGCTGCAGCACGCCGGCACCAGCCCTTCTCCTCTGCTCCCGCAGCAGCAGCAGCAGCAGCAGCAGCAGCGGGAGCAACTGCAGCAGCAGTGGGGCAAGGTTGACGCGACGTCGGAAGCAAAACAGATTTCCTTCCTGAAGGGGCCTAGCTGCTGCTGCTGTAGGTTTCGCTGTTGCTGCTGCTGGTTTGGTTGTGTTGCTGCTGCTGCTGCTGCTCCAGCTGCTGCTGCTGCCGCTGCCGCTGCTGCTGCTGCTAGTTGGGTAGAGTATACAAGGAAAAAAGAAATTGCACTGCGCCTCGTTCTATAAACGCCTAAGATGGCGACTGCCGCTGCTATCTGCTGCTGCTGCTGCTGATGCTGCTGCTGCAAGACCCGCTGCCGCCTTCTTTGCAGCAGCAGCAGCAGCAGCAGCAGCAGCACGGCTGTCTGGGGCCCCCTGCTGCGGTTATCTGCTCCTTAGCGAGGCTTTTCTTCTCTTTTATCTTTATTAATCTTTAATGATTCTTCTTCTGTGGTCTTCTGGTGTGCAGACACCTCTAGCAGCAACAGCAGACTCAACAGCAGCAGCAGCAGCAACAGCAGCAGCAACTGCAGCAGCAGCTCGGGGAGGAGGCCTTCCCCTCAACTTGTCGCGGAATTGCCTCGCAGCAGCAATTAAAGAATTATTTATTTTATTTATATGATAAACAGAGAAACACAACAGACAACACCTGAGGTGTACGTACACCGCAAACTGCAGCACAGCTTGCTGCAAGACCGCCACAGAGGAGCAGCAGCAGCAGCAACAGCAACAGCAGCAGCAACCAGCAGCAGCATCAGCAGCAGCAGCAGCATCAGTAGCAGCAGCAGTATCAGTTTCTGGAGCTAGTGCGGGGTAGAGTCACAACAGCAACAGCAGCAGCAGCAGCAGCAGCAGCTGTTGCTGTTGCTGCTGCTGGTTAGCAGCAGAATGGATGTGCCTATAAGCTCATCTGCTGCATCATCTGAGGTGTATATACACTCTGTTAATTCTCGCGTTGCAGCATGCAGCGACTTTGGGGTGTCTGCGCACCTCAAGGACCAGCAGCAGGAAGTGCAGCAGCAAGCAGCAGCAGCAGCAGCAGCAGCAGCAGCAATAGAAGCAGAAGTTGCAGAAACTGCAGCTCCTTCTCTTATTGACGAGCGCTTAAAAGATGTAGCAGATAAGATAAAGTCAATCGAAGCAGAAATACTTGCTGCTGTACGCCAGCAAGCAGGACTGCAGCAGCAGCTGCTGCAACAGCAGCAGCAGCAGCAGCAGCAGCAACAGCAGCAACAACAAGAACAACCGCAGCACCAGCAGCAACACCTGCAGCAGCCGCAGCAACACCAGCAGCAAGACCACCATCATCATCATCAGCAGCAGCAGCAGCAGGAGCAGCAGCAAGAGATGCTGCAGACAGGATCTCGTGTTGCTGCTTTGCTGCAGCTATCATTAGAGGCGCAGCAGTTAGCAGCACAGACTGTTGAAGAAGCTGGAGATCTCTGTAGCGACTTAAGGAGAGTAGATATAGCTAAGAAGAATATAACAAAGACAATTGGTTTGCTGCGGCTGCTGCTGATGCTAGCAACAGCAACAGAGCAACTAAGAGAAGCAGCACTGCATCGCGAGTATAAAGAAGCAAGGAAGCTGCTGCTGGCGCTGCAGCGGCTCTCTTCTCTCTTTCAGGTGTATAGGCATATACCCTCTGTTGCTGCGCTGCTGCAGCAGCACCAGCAGCTGCGGGAAGGGTTGCAGCAGCAGCTTTTAGAGGACTATGAAAGCGCCTTCGATCCCGACAGCAGCAGCAGCAGCAGCAGCAGCAGCAGCTACTGGAGAGAGAAGCTAGCTGATGCAGGTCTTTGCGTTGATGCATTAGGAGGAAGAGACATCCGAGAGAGGCTTCTTGCTGCTGCTTGCGGCTGTCTCCTTACCCCTTATGTTCTTACCTTCTCTGTAGCAGCAGCACCAGCAGCAGCAGGAGCAGCAGGAGCAGCAGGAGCAGCAGGAGTCCCTGCACATGTAGCAGCAGGAGACGCAGCAGATGCAGCAGACCTGAGCGCTTCCTCCTCTGCCTTTGCATCATCATCAGCATCATCATCATCATCAGCAGCAGCAGCAGCAGGAGGGGCAGCAGCAGCATTTCTTGCTCGTCGCTTCGGCTGGTATAGAAGAGTAGTCAGAGAGCAGCAGCAGCAATTTGCTGCTCTCTTTCCGCCTCACTGGCTCTTCGTCGAAGCATTTGCTGCACACTTCTGCAAAATCACCAAACAACAACTCGCGGTAAATCTATTTGCTGCTGCTGCTGCTGTTGCTGCTCCTGTTGCTGCTGCTCTTGTTGCTGGTGCTGTTGCTGCTGCTGCTGCTGCTGCTGCTGCTGCTGTTGCCCTTGTTGCTGCTGCTGCTGCTCCTCTTGTTCCTGTTGCTTTTGCTGCTGTTCTTGCTGCCGATGATGATGTTGGGCTGGTGTTGCTGCTGCTGCTGCTGCTGCTGCTGCTGCTGCTGCGGCTATTGCTGCTTCTGGTGGTGGTATTCGAGTCTGCTGCTGCTGCATTTATATTTGTTTTGCTGTCTCCTTTTGTCTTTTATATTTTTTCGTCTGTCTTTAACCTCCTTTTGCTTTTATTTATTTATATATATTTATATTTATTTATATTTATTTATATTTATATTTGTGTTTATTTATATTTATATTTATGTTTATTTATTTATATTTATTTTTGTTTATTTTCTTCTCTCTGTCTGTTATTACATTGCTTGATGTCTTCTTCACTTCTTTTTATCTCTTTAAATAAATAAATAAATATAAATATAAATATAAATATAAATAAATAAATATAAATATGTTTATGTTTGGGTGTATGCACAGGATTACTTAGAGTCTGCGTCTCTGTCTGCTGCTGAGCTGCTGTCGCTCGTCCGCGAGTGCAGAGCATTTGAGGAAAGGCTTAACTGGCGATTTGCTGCTGAGCGCAAGCAGCTGCTGCTGCTGCTGCCACCAGAGCAGCAGCAGCAGGAGCAGCAGCAGCAGCAAGAGCAGCAGCAACAGCAGCAGCAGCAGCAACAGCAACAGTGCCTGGAGCCCAGCCGCCAGCAGAAAGAACTGCTTCGTGCAGCAGCGCTGCAGACGGCAGCAGCAATCGACCAGCAGCATCAGCAGCAGCAACATCAGCAAGAGCAACAGCAGCAGCAGCAGCAGCAGCAGCAGGGGGTGCTCTCACTTGCTTCTCGAGTTGCTGCAGTGCTGCAGGAGGACAGCAGCGGTTCGGGTGCTGACACGGCAGCAGCAGCAGCAGCAGCAGCAGCAGCAGCAGCAGAGGCAGAAGAGCAGGGTCTGCGTCTTCCTCCTACTGTCTCCTTTACCGGTGCAATTGCTGCTGGATTTGAGGGGCATATGAATGTGTGGCTGCAGCACGAAGAAGACAAATTAAACAGCAAACTCATCTCTGCGCTGCAGCAAGACAAAGTATATATTAACTTCGCCTTCTCAGCCTTTGCATGCACCAGCAGCAGCAGCAGCAGCAGCAGCAGCAGCAGCAGCAATCCGTTTGATGCAGACATCTTGCGAGAGGATGGCTATACGGTAGCAACAGCACCAGCAGCAGCACCAGCACCAGCAGCAGCAGCAGCAGCAGCAGGAGCAGGAGCAGCAGCAGCAGCAGAAGAGGGCGAAGTTTGTCTGTACACCTCAGCTAGCCAGATGTTTGGATCCTGTAAAGCTCTGCTAGACACAACAATATATGTCTCAAACGGAGAGACGCTGCTTGCTGTTGTTGCTGCATTTGAGAGGCTTTTTAATAAATATATGCAAGCACTCAGCGACAGGTTTGTCTGCTGCTGTCTCTCCTTCTGTCTCTTTATATCTGTCTTTCTGTCTCTTTATATCTGTCTCTTTATATCTGTCTCTTTATGTCTTTATCTTTATCTGTTTCTTTAGCTGTCTCTTTATATCTGTATCTTTATCTTTCTCTTTATATCTTTATCTGTCTCTTTATATCTTTAATATTTTATTTATATATTTTTATATAGTTATATTTATATCTTTATTTGTATATTTATATCTTCATCTGTCTTTTTATTTATTTTTACATGTCTTTCTGTCTCTGTCTCTCTTTATCTGTAGAAATATAAATATAAATAATAAATATAAATATAAATAATAAATATAAAGAGAGACAGCAAGTAAAAGAAAGAAGTAAGAGACAAATTATTTAGCTGTCTCTCTTTTATTTGTAGGCTACCGTCTCCAAAGACATTTATGAAAGATTGGTTTGCTGCTGCTGCTGCAGCAGCACAGCAGCAGCAGCAGCAGCAGCAGCAGCAGCAGGATGTGTGCGGGTTTGTCTTTGAAGAAGTAGACAAAGAGACACAGCAGCAAGTCATTGTTGTTGCTGCTGTGCTTGGCTGCTGCCGCTACTTCTCTTCTACTTTAAATAAAATGCTGCTGCTGCTGCAGCAGCAGCTTCCTCCAAAGCATCACAGCAAAATTGCGTTTGAAGAGCAAAACGGTTAGGCTTCAGCTGTCTCTTCAGCTGTCTCTTCAGCTGTCTCTTCAGCTGTCTCGTCAGCTGTCTCTTCAGCTGTCTCTTTATATCTTTATCTGTATATTTATATCTTTAGCTGTCTCCTCAGCCGTTTCTTTATATCTTTAGCTGTCTCTTCAGCTGTCTCTTTATATCCTTATCTGTATATTTATCTGTCTCTTTATATCTTTACCTGTCTCTTCATCTGTCTCTTTATATGTCTATATATATATATATATATATTTACCTCTCTTTATATGTTTATATATATATATATAATGCATATATATATATATATATATACAGCTTTATATTTATTTGTCTCTTCATATCTTTATTATCTGTCTCTTCATCTGTCTCTTTATCTGTCTCTTTAACTGTCTCTCTATCAGCGTATACATATTTATTTAATTATAAATATATATGTAATAGATAATGTATATATATATATATACATTTATATATATGTTTATTTCTTATATATTATATATTATCATAGAAATAAATTATTTAATTTTCTTAGACTTTTACTTTAATATTATTTTTATATATTTTATTATTTTTATATATTTTATTTTAATATTTTTATTATTTTGTTTTATTATTTTTATTATTTTGTTCTATTGTTTTTATTTGTTGTTATTTTTTCTTATGAATCCGCTCATTGATCTTTTTGTTGCTGCTGGTGCTGCTGCTGCTGCTGCTGGTACTGCTGCTGCTGCTGCTGCTGTTGCTGCTGCTGCTGCTGCTGTTTGTGATTAGAGGCTGTGTATGCCTTGGAAGCATCAGCTTTGCGTCTTTTGCTTGATGTATTTTCTCCTCCTTTATCTTCGTTTCGTTCTTCAATAAGCAAATGCAGCACAACTTCAGGTGTACAGGCAGGTCGTTTGCTTCTTCTCGGGTGTATACGCAGCTATTTCAGTTATCGGGGCTTTGTGCATGCATGCAATGTCGCTAAAGCCAGCTGTATACGCAACTTCTCTATATTCAGGTGTATAGGCAGGTTGTTTCTATGTTGGTGTCTATTAAAAGCCTCTATTAATTCAGGTGTATAGGCAGCTTGTGCATGCATTGGGGTGTACAGGGAGCGTACGTGTGTATTTATATTCAGGTGTATAGGCAGCTCAGTGCGTTGATTTGTTTGCTTTTGTTTGTGTATGTGCTGGGGTGTACAGGGAGCTTCAGGCTCTGTTGTTTTTCTTTGTGCTTCTTTGCATGCGTCTTTGAAACTTTTTTCGCGATTTCTTTCCAGGCCTGTCTACCGCTTCTTCACAGATAAACTCGCACAGGTACTCATATATATATATATATATGTATAGATTACATATATATGTATATATAGATGGATAGATAGGTAGATAGGCAGCTGTATGGATATCTAGCTAGCTAGCTAGCTAGCTAGCTATATAGGTAGGTAGCTAGCTAACTAGATAGCTAGCTACATCTAGCTAGCTAGCTAGCTAGCTAGATGTGCTATACGAGTTAATCGCCTGCCCCTGCCGGTGTTTATTTAAGCGGAGACTCTATTTAAAAAAACCAAACTAGCTAGCTAGCTAGCTAGCTAGCTAGCTAGTAAGCTAGCCAGCTAGCTAGGCAGCTAGCTAGCTAGTTAGCTAGCTAGCTGGGTAAATAGTTAGCTAGCCGGGTATCCCCAGAGGGTCTTGTGATGACGTGCTGCTGCTCTCGCAGATCTGGAGCTGCTGCTATGTGTGCTGCTGCTGCTGCTGCTGCTGCTGTTGCTGTTGCTGCTGCTGCAGCAAGTAATAAATGAGTTCCGAGCGGGGGTGAGTATGTGCAAAGTATTTGGAGTTGAGGGAGCGCAGCAGCTGCTGCTGGACATCGCAACTCTGAAAGAAACGCTGCTGCAAATAGCTGTGCCGGGGTGTATAGGCAGCAGCAACAACCAGCCTCTGATGCAGTTGTTTCTTTGCGTACTGCTGCTGTTGCTGCAGCTGTTGCTGCAGTTGTTGCTGCAGCTGCCGCTCTCGCTTCTCCCCTTTCAGTGTTCTGTCGCTGTCACTGCTGCTGCTGCTTATGGTGCTGCTGCTGCTGCTGCTGCTGCTGCTGCAGGTTATACGCGTTTTGTATGCCGGGAGTTTGAGAAGGTGGAGGTTGTGCTGCGCTCTTTGATCGTAGCACCAGGAGACACGGGAGCACTCAGAGGTGCTGCTGCTGCTGCTGCTGCTGCCTGTTGGTGCTTTGCTGCTGCTCGTTGTTGCTGCTGCTGCAACTTGTTGCTGCTTTGCTGCTGCGCGTTTCTACTGCTGCTTTTTGCTGCAGCAGCAGTTGCTGTTTTTTTATGGGTGCTGCTGCTTTGCTGCTGATGTTGCTGCTATTTTGCTGCTGCTGTTGCTGTTATCTGGAGGTCTTACTGCTGCTTTTAGCAGTGCTGCTGCTGCAGCATTTTACATGTTTGAGAAGGCTTTGTTGTTGCTGCTGTTTGCTGCTCGTGTGTGCAGCGCTGCTGCAGCAGCAACAGCCAGCGGCTGCCAGTGCAGATAAAATTAACAGCTGGGGGCGTCTAGGCTTGCGAAGCAGCAACGATGCTGCTGCTGCTCCTGCTCCTGCTGCTGCTTCAAGAGAAGCGGCAGCAAAGAAGGCAGCAGCAGCAGATCCAGCAGCAGCAGCAGATCCAGCAGCAGGTACAGCAGCAGCAGCAGCAGCAGCAGCGCAGTGGAGTTCGTCTGCTGCTGCTCCTCAGAAGCAAATGCTGCCTCACTCTGTAGCAGCAGAGACAAATCCGTTTGCTCCTTCCCCCAGGATGAGCAGCAGCAGCAACAGCAGCAGCAGCAGCAGCCGCAGCAGCACAAACCCATTTGAACCTGCTACTAGCGGAGCTGTTCGTACATTGTCAGCTCGTATGGCGCAGCAGAAGCTGTAATTCTGCTGTTTTTCTTTTTACTTTTTAATTAACTAATTAATTAATTAATTAATTAATTAAATTTATTTATTTATTTATTTATTTATTTGCTGCTGCCACTCCTTTCAGTGCTGCAAACCGAGCAGTCAACCCGCGTACGAACAAACGAAGAAACCCTCAGCAGCTGCTGCTGCTGCAGCAACAGCAGCAGAAGCAGCAGCAGCAGCAGCAGCAGAGTTTGAGGCAGGCTTAGTAAAGGAGACAAAAAAGAAAACAAACAAAACGAGTCGCTGCAGCAGCAGCTTCCTCTTCTTTACCTTCTGCTGCTGCTGCTGTTGCAGCTGCTGCTGCAGCTGCTACTGCTGCTGCTGTGGTAGGAGACATCAGCAGCAGCAGCAGCAGCAGCAGATTGATGCTTATAGTGTTTGGAGTTGGTTGATGATTTCTTTGAGTTGTTTGCGACGGCTTTCACTCCCAGAGAGGGACCTGCAGATACACCCCAAATAAACCCTAAACCCTAAACCCTAAACCCTAAACCCTTCTTTCTGCTGTCAGTACGCGGCAAAGGAGGAAGAGATGGAGAGAGATAAAACAATTAAACGCCTTTAAACAACAACGCTGCTGCTGCTGTTGCTGCTGCTGTATTTGCTGCTGGTTCTGCTGCATTTGCTGCTGCATTTGCTGCTGCATTTGCTGCTGCATTTGCTGCTGCAATTGCTGCTGCAGCTCCTGCTGCAGTTGCTGCTGCAGTTGCTGCTGCAGTTGCTGCTGCAGTTGCTGCTTACCAGATGTTGTGGTAGATGAAAATTGTTTTTGTGTTTTGTTTAATTTTTTGTTTTAAGTTGCTGATGCCGGAGACAGAGAGACAAGGAAGAAGATACAGAGACGCTGAGCACAAACAAAAATATTATTCATTTGCTGCTGCTGTTGCTGCTGCTGCTGCTGTTTTTGCTGCTGCTGCTTTTGCTGCTGTCGTTGTGGCTGCTGCGGCGAACGAGCATCAGACAGCAACAACTTCAGCAGCAACTGAAATGCAGCAGCAGCTGCTGCTACTGCTGCAGCAGCGGCAGCAAACAACAGCAGCAGCAATAAACATGCACAGCAGCACCAGCAGCCAAGGATAGTGCAAATCACTTCTACTCACCTTTCTGCTGCTGCTGCTGTTCGTGTTGTTGCTGCTGCTGCTGTTCGTGTTGCTGCTGCTGCTGCTGCACTTCGGGCAGGAGCAGCAACCCTGGGGAGGGCTCTGCAACATCATTGAGGTAGCGCTGCAGCAGCCGCCTGTTGCTGCTGCTGTGCTGCTGCTGCTGCTGCTGCTGCTGCTGCTGCTGCAGGTCTCCTATATCTAATTTAAGGTCTGCAATATGCGGCAGTGGTGAAAGACAATGGCGTTCTTCTAACAACACAAACAGCAGATGCAGCTCCTTATCTGCTGCTGCTGCGGCTGATGCTGCTGCTGCTGCTGCGGCTGTTGGTGGTGCTGTCTTTGCGGCTTTCGCTGCAGCAGCAGAAGCTGCTGCTGCTGAAGGTCCTGGAGGGGACACATGCTCGGTATTCTGGCTGTACACCTGCGATGTGCTGCTGCTGCTGCTGCTGCAGTTGCTGCTGCTGCTTGCTGCGGTGCTGCTGCGGGTGCCTATACACCCGAACGTCTTTGGCAGCAAAACGTACAAACCCCACATACCCGTTGCTTTGTCCTGCAGCAAGACCGAATCAAAGGGCCTCGCTGCTGCAGCACGTGCAGCAGCAGCAGCAGCAGCAGGGGCAGCAGGAGCAGCACCACCTGCAGCAGCGCCAGCAGCAGCAGCAGCGGAAGGCGCTACGGTGCTTTCGCTCTGCGACTGCAGCACATTTCTTAGCAGCAGCAGCAAATCATGTAACTCATCCTTGCAGCGCTTGCTGCTGCTGCTGCTGTTGCTGTTGCTGCTGCTGCTCCCCCCGCAGAAGGCCCAGCATGCCTCTGTAGCCTCTTTATTGCAGCAGCGCTTGCTGCTGCTGTTGCTGCTGCTGCTAGAGGTCTTCACAGCAACAGCAGCAGCAGTTTGCGTTGACGGCCGCCTTGCGGTTGCACTGTCTGTTTGGGGTGTACAGGCAGCAGCAGCAGCAGCAGCAAGTGTTTGCTGCAGCAGCTGCCAGTCGCTGCTACACTCGAAGGAACGGCTTTTTAAAACCGTCAGCATCAAATCTGCAGCAGCAGCAAATACAGCAGCAGCACCAGAAGCACGTACAGCAGCAACAGAAGCGGCAGCAGCAGCCGCAGCAAATGCAGCGGCATCAGCGACAGCAGCAGCAGCACTTTCAAGCAAATGGACGCAACTCCTGCATTTCATGAGCAGCAGCAGCAGCAGAAGCAACAGAAGAAGCAGCAGCAGCAGCAGCAGCAGCGCACCAACGAACGTCTTAGGAAATGCAGCTTCCCCTCGTGCCGTCGTGCTGCTGCTGCTGCTGTTGTTGCTGTTATTTTTGTTGTTGCTGTTGCTGCTGCTGCTGCCTGCGATTTCCATTGCATGCAGGGCGCACATTGCTGCTGCTGTAAACCGCAGCAACGCTTCTGCCGGGACAGCAGCAGCAGCAGCAGCAGCAGCATCAGCTGGAG